TACTACTACTACTACTACTACTACTACTACTACTACTACTACTACTACTACTACTACTACTACTACTACTACTACTACTACTACTACTACTACTACTACTACTACTACTACTACTACTACTACTACTACTACTACTACTACTACTACTACTACTACTACTACTACTACTACTACTACTACTACTACTACTACTACTACTACTACTACTACTACTACTACTACTACTACTACTACTACTACTACTACTACTACTACTACTACTACTACTACTACTACTACTACTACTACTACTACTACTACTACTACTACTACTACTACTACTACTACTACTACTACTACTACTACTACTACTACTACTACTACTACTACTACTACTACTACTACTACTACTACTACTACTACTACTACTACTACTACTACTACTACTACTACTACTACTACTACTACTACTACTACTACTACTACTACTACTACTACTACTACTACTACTACTACTACTACTACTACTACTACTACTACTACTACTACTACTACTACTACTACTACTACTACTACTACTACTACTACTACTACTACTACTACTACTACTACTACTACTACTACTACTACTACTACTACTACTACTACTACTACTACTACTACTACTACTACTACTACTACTACTACTACTACTACTACTACTACTACTACTACTACTACTACTACTACTACTACTACTACTACTACTACAACTACTACTACTACTACTACTACTACTACTACTACTACTACTACTACTACTACTACTACTACTACTACTACTACTACTACTACTACTACTACTACTACTACTACTACTACTACTACTACTACTACTACTACTACTACTACTACTACTACTACTACTACTACTACTACTACTACTACTACTACTACTACTACTACTACTACTACTACTACTACTACTACTACTACTACTACTACTACTACTACTACTACTACTACTACTACTACTACTACTACTACTACTACTACTACTACTACTACTACTACTACTACTACTACTACTACTACTACTACTACTACTACTACTACTACTACTACTACTACTACTACTACTACTACTACTACTACTACTACTACTACTACTACTACTACTACTACTACTACTACTACTACTACTACTACTACTACTACTACTACTACTACTACTACTACTACTACTACTACTACTACTACTACTACTACTACTACTACTACTACTACTACTACTACTACTACTACTACTACTACTACTACTACTACTACTACTACTACTACTACTACTACTACTACTACTACTACTACTACTACTACTACTACTACTACTACTACTACTACTACTACTACTACTACTACTACTACTACTACTACTACTACTACTACTACTACTACTACTACTACTACTACTACTACTACTACTACTACTACTACTACTACTACTACTACTACTACTACTACTACTACTACTACTACTACTACTACTACTACTACTACTACTACTACTACTACTACTACTACTACTACTACTACTACTACTACTACTACAACTACTACTACTACTACTACTACTACTACTACTACTACTACTACTACTACTACTACTACTACTACTACTACTACTACTACTACTACTACTACTACTACTACTACTACTACTACTACTACTACTACTACTACTACTACTACTACTACTACTACTACTACTACTACTACTACTACTACTACTACTACTACTACTACTACTACTACTACTACTACTACTACTACTACTACTACTACTACTACTACTACTACTACTACTACTACTACTACTACTACTACTACTACTACTACTACTACTACTACTACTACTACTACTACTACTACTACTACTACTACTACTACTACTACTACTACTACTACTACTACTACTACTACTACTACTACTACTACTACTACTACTACTACTACTACTACTACTACTACTACTACTACTACTACTACTACTACTACTACTACTACTACTACTACTACTACTACTACTACTACTACTACTACTACTACTACTACTACTACTACTACTACTACTACTACTACTACTACTACTACTACTACTACTACTACTACTACTACTACTACTACTACTACTACTACTACTACTACTACTACTACTACTACTACTACTACTACTACTACTACTACTACTACTACTTAGTGACACTTATACTACTTAAATTTAACAAGTGATATTGATCACCTACAAATGTCTTTCATGGCTGTTCTTTTTAAAAAAATGAAGAATATCATCTGTTGTCCTGGTTTTATTGTTATTTTAATTCAGGTGTTGTAATTCTAACTTTTCCTCCTGTTTCCCTCCTCTCTTATAGTTTTCGTTGTACTACTGGTCATTGTATTTTTTTTTCTAAGTAAACACCCAATTAAAGGGAGAAAAGAATATGAGAGAGGGGGAGGAAAATGTTTGTAGTTGAAAAAGTACATAGAAAGATGATTAGTCGTCTCCCTTCAGAAAAATAGGAAAACAACCAAGAGATAAGTAAACAAAGTATACAGACTATAAATTCACTTTTTAATAATCAGTGTACATAAGTAATAAGCAGGTAAATAAATCGTATAAGATAGTTGTCGATACTCAACTTATGTTTCATTTCTTGTCTGGTTGTTTTTTCTTTTTCCAAAAGTTACCCTCTATTTGTTGAGTTGTAGAGGGTAGTTATTCTAAGACAATCAATAAAGCTGTAATGAGTAGTAACTGTGGTTAAAGATGTTTTAACCGAAAAATTGTTGTCATAACCAATTTACTTACTTACGCCTGTTACCTCTCGTGGAGGAAGGAGTATTGGCCGCCCACCAGCATTCTCCATCCAACTTAACGACTATAAATATTAATACATTTTTATATATATGAGAAAACAATGATTTATAGTTATTGTCTTCTATTCAAACTGATGATTATAATCTCTTCCATACAACATGTCTGAGGTATAAAAAATATGTAAGGTTGTGAACAGTTCAAAGGACAATGGACATTTGGAAAAGGGGTTACACGGGTAGTATATTTCATTTCTTAGAAAGACAATATTTTCCAGAAAAATGAGAGTTGATGTAAAACGATACATGATAAGAATCTTACATAAAACTTTTCATTCATTTGAAGAATAATTGTGTTCCATGAAGGGAATAGAGTTAAAAACTCTATGTCTACATTTTCTACCTAGAAACCAGGGTAAATGTATTAAATAGATATTAGGCATATGATTTATTTGATGTGTGTATAGTGGTAGTTGAATCAGTAAGACAGCTGAGTTTCGACCGTTGCATTGCCAGTTTGAATCCAACTTTGTATATTTTTCTTTGGTCAGCTGGGTGTTGTCAATAGTCTTCATATATCTAAAGTATGGCTCAAAGATAGTTTTGATGGAGTTTTGTTCCTTCAGCTGGTTGGCTTGGTCATGGAGCTTTCATCGTTATTCTGAACAACATCATCAGCGCAAACTTCAAGTAGAAGTGAAGTGTTCGAATTTCTCCATATACAGCTCACAGCTTGTCCTGTAGACCTCGGTCTTGATTGGTTATTGTTGACTTTTAACCTGTCATTGTTTGCTTTTCTACTTTGATTGTATCTCCTATCGATTCGAATACTTCACTTCTACCTGAAGTTTGTGCTGATGGATGTCGTTCACAATAACGATGAAAGCTCCATGACCAAACCATCCAGCTCAGCGAACAAAACTCCATCAAAATCATCTACATGAGCTACAAATCTTCTCTACCATCTCAAAGATGGTTACAGAAACCTGTACTCAGTAAACAAGTTACCATAATAGTTATTCGATAAGACCATTTTTAATATTTTGATGAGAGGTCATTTTAGAGATTGTTCGGTTCGAATGTAATTTTTCATGTCCCTGACTAACTTTAACTAGATAACCGGGAACACTGGTGATCAAATATAGGACCTTTAAATCTTCTGGTGATTTTATCATTAATACAATCGTACATGTATCTGACTTCGTTAATGAGTTTCATATTAAGGTGAGACATCTGTCTAGCGATTCTTAGTCTTTAGTGCTTGTTTAGTTAAAGTCATTTCGTAATGTAATCTACTTGTCAGTGAATGAACGTCTGGAAGTACTACTAACATTATTTTATAAGAAAAGATGGATATTGACTAGTAGTGGAATCCAGGACACGTTTCGTCCTATTTGGGACTCGTCAGCTTGATATGACTTAATCCCGGAGTCGATGTCCACTCTGGGACTCGAACCTAATACCATTTGCTTCAAAGACCATCGCGTTAACAACAGTGGGAAGATACAAGCTTGAATAGTTTCTTTGGAATCTAGACAGAGGCAAGTGGTTTTCTTAAGATTCCATCCCTCGACCCTTTGACCTGGAAGTCTAATCCACAAGGCACTGGAGCAATGTTAGTAGATACAGTCAAATGGTAGCCGGTGACTAACAATAGATTCACACGTCCATGTGCACCCTTGTTTTGGGATCAGGTTTTTCCAACTCTCCTAAGTGGATTCTCTATATCCACTAACCCGGTTAAAGCGTCGGACATTTTCTTTTCATCCACTAAATTTCGTAGAGAACACTCGCACCTCGAGAAGGAAGTGGGTAGGACTTCTCTGTCGGTGTCTATATACGCGTGGCTATATGAGTATTTGGGTGACGAGAGTGGACTCTCTCTGCCCTCCTCCGTACCCTAAGGGCATTTGGGAGCAAACGTTTTAGGATTATTCACTAGACTGTTGAGTCACCACTTGTTCAGTGGATTCAATATTACTTCTAACTGTAACACTAATTATTTCACGGTAATGAGCTACCATCCTCCATTGGCCGAGGCGGATAAAATGGCTTACACTCAACCAGGTTGAACTTTATTGATCACATCTTCTTACAAGAACTTCAAGAATTAAAAAAAACTTGGACTAATGCATATATTTATAAATATCTTCTCTCTATCCATTTTTTAGGTCCTGAATATGCTAGTGCATCTATATTCGGTTTCACACCACCACCATCGGATCTATCAGATGGAGCATCTATTCATTGTGGAGAGAATAATAATAATAGTGGTAATAATAATATTCCATCGAATTATTACCGTCCAATTATTTCAAGACTTGGTAATAATCAACATCATCCAATATCTGGTTTGATGCCTAATTTAAATCCCAATTACAATGGACCTCTTAGTACATTATCGAATACAGGAGGACCAACTTATGAAATGCATACAAAAATGCATATTTTATCTAACGACATAATCAATAATAATAATAGTAATAGTGAACAATTTTATTCATCAACCGTAAATCAACCAAATGCTTCAACAGGATTTTTATTTCTTCCACGTTCACAAATTGGAAATTTTGGAGGAGGCGAAGGTGGCACCATAATGAATCGAATGTCATTTCCTACTAATCAATTTCCACAGTTAAATCATAATGGATTTATATCTGTAACAAGTGGAGATTTATATAATATCTATCAAACAACTGGAATAAATCTACCAATTCAATCAAATTTACAGACATCTCTACAACAACAACAACAACAACAACAACAACAGCAAATGTACTGTCAACAACAACAGCCAAGTGAATATAAGGTAAGCAGATTATTGTATTAAGATTAACAAGTGTTCACTATCATTCATCTTTTTTACTTAATTCATAAGGTTGTGTTTCAATTAAAGATGATGATGTGCAGTTCATCTAAATATACTTTGTACACATTCTAAATGAGATAAACTATAGTTTTTAAAAAATCATTCTGATTTAGTTCGAATCCCTTGAAAACTAATTTTGAAGCTGATTATTTTTGTCACGGGTTAACATCCGATGGTGATCTGTTGAAAGCAGAGAACATCGGATAGTTGTCTGGTTTTAGTACTATAAACTACTACGCACTGATAATCAACTCCAGCGTTAGAATTTTTAAAATGTTAAGATTTTGAGGGAAGAACGTAATCTTTAGATCAGTGATTCACACATTTTAAACGTAAGTGAGTTCGTAATATTTGGTGAGAGCCATTTTACAGTTGTGTCCTCTGCTCCCTCGTGTTTAACTATTATTCAACTATGATGGTCGATCCGTGACGTAAAGCATCTTCAAAATTTAACTCATTTCCACAAACTTTCCCATCAAATAAATCATGAGTCAATTGAAGCTAGACTACCATGAAAAATCTGGAAGCACTGGACGGCCGTTTCGTCCCGTTGTGGGACTCCTCAGTAGTGTGCATCCACGATCCCCCCTCACGAGATTCGAGCCCAGGACCTATCGGTCTCGCGCGCGGGCGTTTATCCACTGACCTTGCCGGTATCCAACGGTGTCAATGTCTGTTTCAGTTTCTGTATTTAATTTTTATTGTCATGGTAACATTTACTACTAAGACAACGAATTACGAGAGTTTCCATGTCTATATGACTATCAATTTCTTCAAGATCATGCATACATATAGCTTATTAATGAGTGTAATCTAGCAAAACACTAGATCATGAGATTTTCTATTGATTCTCTCCAACTATTTAACAGTTATTATTATTGAATTTGAGATTTCACGTCATGGATTGACTTTACTTATTTAATCATTGAAGAGCGGAATTTCTGAATTTCTGTTTCAACTCAATATATGACTATTCAGTATTACCATAGTTGAAAGCGTGAATCAATTAAAGCTAAACCACTAGGGAAAACCTGGAAGCACTGGACGGCCGTTTTGTCCTGTTGCAGGACTCCTCAGCAGTGCGCATCCACGACCCCGCCTCCAGGAGTTCTAGTGAGAAGCGGTGACCAGTGGAGTTCAAACCATGTCTGTTGTGAGATATCAACTCACTGAAGACAATTGGTGAACGGTTGCTCAACTTCGTGGATTGGTTGGAATAAGACATTAACACCGTTGGATGATAGCCGGTTCAGTGGTCTATCGGTTAGGTGCTCTGGCGCGAGACTTGTCGGTCCTGGGTTCAAATCTCGTGAGGCAAGATCGTGGATGAGCACTGCTGAGGAGTCTCACAATAGGATGAAATGGCCATCCAGTGCTTCTAGGTTTCCCATGGTGGTCTAGCTTCCATTGACTCATGATTTCAACTATATAAAATTACTAAAACCTCCACAAAACCCCCTTCTGGTAAACTGAATTCTTTGGAATATGTTTGAAATAGTTGACTCCACTTTTGAACCGATACATATGCCAATATCTAGGTTATTTATGACTAATTCAGTTAATCGGTCATACACAACGTAGAAACTGACATACATTTGACTCTGTGTCCCAATAGGAAAAATATAACAAAACCAAGTAACACACACAACCTAAGTGAAAAAAAAGTAGCTGTCATAGAACGTTTTCCGTACATATGTCCCACAATAAAACGAAACGGCCGTCCAGTGCTTCCAGGTTTTCCTTGGTGGTCTAGTTTCAATTGACTTACGCTTTCAACTATGAAAATACTAAATCTCCACAAAACCCCTTCTCTTCAGTATTATACATCCACGTCTCTACCAAGAGTCGAACTCATGATATTTAGTCTTCGTGGCAGGTGCCTAGCTTGCATATCACTAAGTTGACATCCAATTATCTACACTTAACACTTCTTGTACAGCATCATCTGTTTTTGAAATAATAAGTACATTTCCAATTATCATCATGAAAAAGTCATCTGAATCCAGTAGGGAGCGAACACATTAGTCTTGTACGTTTCATAGTCCAATTTCTTAACGATTGGTATTTTCAATTTGATCGAAACTTATTTCACTGTTAATGAGGGTTTAGAATACCTCATTGTTGCTATTCAGGACTTAATTTTGATCAGTCTCGCCTAATAGTGATATAAGTATCATACCTGTCGAACTAGTTAGTGTCTATTTGAACTCAGTACTGTAGTGTTTAAAGCAAAAGATGACATGTTCGGATCTCAATGCGAACATCAATAATGAAATTCAAGAATAACTATTTAGAAAGTCCCTAAATAGGGTGGAATGAGCATCTAGAATTCCACTTCTATACTCATAATCTATCCATTCTTTAAATGAAACTTATTTTAAATATTAAGTTTCATTCCAAGTAATTAGCCTTGTTTGTTTTTTTCTTGTATTTTAATGTTTTGTAGTTTATTAAACAATCTGATGGTAATACAACATGGCAATTAGCATCAACATTATCGAATAATCGACAATCAATGATTATCAATTCGACACCTCCGCAGATATCACCATTCACCGAACAATGTTTGGATTCTTCATGGACTGGTACCGTAAATAATAATAATAATAATAATAATAATAATAATAATAATAATAATAATAATAATTCTCATAGAATAACAAATATGACAGATACAAATATAATGGGTACAATGAAAGCTAACTATTTTCTCCCTATTATGAATACTTCAACTACACTAAATAATAATAATAATGATAATAATAATAATAATCCTAAACATGATGAACAACAAGCTGCACAGTCATATTTTCTTGCAAATCATCAACAAGGGAAACAGCAACAAATTACTTATCCTTCATTTCCTCCTCCACCGCCAAGAATACTTACTTCAATAAATTCAGGGATAATATCAACTACATCACCATCAACAACCATTACATCACAGACATCATCAAATGAACTAAATTTTTCTTGTAGTAGTCCAGTTAGTGCAACAGTGGCAATAACAACAATGTCAACAGAATCTGGAGCTACGAATGGGGATGGAGGTGGTGGTTATACAATAATTGATGAAAATACAATATCTGATCCTCCTGTACCATTTTATTCTGTATGTTTATGAGATATCATTGTATGTGTAGAAATTGACACTAACGACGACAACAGTCATAATAATAGTAATAGTAGTAGCAGCAGCAGTAATGAATAACACCTTTTCAAAATTATGTATTACATAAAATACAGACATTTATCATACATATATGTATGGGGGAAATCTATGTGTATATTTGCCTTATTTCTAGTGTGAACAGGGAATTCACTTCAATACATGTATGATATAACAAGGCAGTTCTCTTACTGGCTACTGCAATTCATAGTAATAATAATAGTACTATTTCCTCCCCCACCTTATAGGAGTGGGTGGGTGGATGTGAACTAAAATATTTGTGTTTCTACTTGTACAAAATAAGTTTTTGTTTGTTTTTCTTTTGAGAAAAAGGGAATAATTCGATATAAATTCAAACAAAATTTTATTGATTTTTTCTTCTTTATTACTGTTGATTATTCTGCCAAATCATTATCATCGTCATCCACATCATCATTGAATCTGATTTATCTTCTGCCTCGATTAAAATAGGTTTGCATACTTTTTTTTTTCAATAATTGTCTTCCATGATTCCCACATACAAAAAAAAGAGAGAATGATTATCTCATTTTCATTTTAAAGAATAACAATCTTTTGCCCCCCCCCGGTGGTTGTTACTTTTTCTTTTTTTTTTTGAAAAAAATAAGATTGGATGTATATGTACCTTCGGCATGTTTTTGTCTCCGTGGAAAAGTAAAAAATCAATTAAGTTGAACTTGCAAAAAACTGGATTATATGTCATTGATTGACGGTTTCTCTTTTCACAGCTATTCTACTATTATTTCTACTACAACTATAACTGATTTCCCGATTTCTATGATATTTCTCTCTTGACTTGAATGAATGTCAATTGTCTATTCTCAAGTTGTGCATGTGTGTTTTGATGAAATTCATCAGTATGTGATAATTTGATGAATATTAAATTCCATAATAAAAGTTTTGTTTCTATGCTGAAATGGCCCCCCCCCTAACTACATTTTTTTCCGAAAGAATAATAATACTACTGAATTGGAATTAAGTATATTGATGACTAGTAACATGGACAATTGTGTACACAGATTTATTCTTATTCATCTTTAATAAATTTACCTAATCATCATTTTAATACCGTTTATTGTTACATAATACATACAAGTACCTATGTACAGTACATTTTTTTTTCTGTCTATTTGTCTAATGCTTTATTGGTTTAATCTGTGGTTTTGAATAACAGACAAAGTTTGTTAAACGTTTCCATTTGTATATGAAGTCTGTGATTAAATAGATAATATTTAATTGTTGTCGTTGTTGTTGTTGTTGTGGCCGGTTGATTAGAAGTGTATTTTGTGGAACATATTACATGTTTATTTGTTTGTTTTCAAATGCCTGTATGTATGTGTATTCACACATAGGACATTCATCCCGTTTATAATTCTCATCACTATCTCCTTTCTATCTATTTCCCTCTCTTCTATGTCTTCTTGTATTCTTGTTTGTATTTTCATTGGATTCAATTATTTATTTTTTATTGTGTTAAAAAGACAAAATTTGATCAGCGGAAAGAAAGTAAAGGCGATATCACTGGAAATTGTGGTGTTTGATTGGGAAATATAGTTGCGTAGGGTATTTTCTCCATGAAGTTTTCTCTTCTTTTTTCTGATGTTCAAAAACGTCGTGTTGATATTTTTCAAACAAAAAAAAAGATTATTACTCGCATAAATTGATATTTCTTTTGTTTTTCTGACTTTTCTGGGTTGCTGTTACTAATGTAACTAGGGATTTAGCTTCGTGTGTGAGGTAAATATTGATAAACATTTTGCTGTCTGAAAAGAGTAATTGTCAAGTGGTGTTGTAATGTGGTCTACTTATATCCATATAAGTAGTATATGGTGATGATCAGACATAAAATGTATTTTGGCAGAAGATCGTTTAGGAAAGAACAGGAATGAAGCGTAATTGATATGAAAATGCATGAACATTAAATCAAAGAAGATGGATTGATATTTACGGAAGGAACAGTGAATATTGAGACAATTGATCGTTAATTTGCAAATTAACTGTTTGTTGTATGGTTATCAGAATTTAGTGAGATAGTCTGTAATTTTTGCTTAAATACATTCGATTGTCCCAGTCGTGTTCTGTTCACTACAGTGTAGTTATTCAAAGGATTACTTTTCTCACTGAACTTGGATCGTAAAGATAATTGCTTATAAGCTGTAATGGTAACCATCAAAATTGTTTCAGCAAACTAGTTATAATGTATCCATAGGACACTTAGTTTAGTTCCTCATTCAGAATGTTCAGGATTCTTGTTTATATATAGTGATATTGTGATGGTTAAGTTTAAGTATAATACTGTATCGATCAGCAACAAAAAAAGGGTTTTAAAGTCACAACATAAATCAAACTAAATGATGACTATGAACGTGTCATGCTTAATTTTTTTGGAAAAGACAATTATTTACAAACATTTGGATTGTTAAGGGAAGCGTTCGTCTATGATTTGTTTCATTTATTTATTTAAACACAAATATTGGTATAAGGAAACACCAGATGCATATGCGCCGCATAAATCTCATTCGATTTGCTTGAGGGCTGTGATATTGTCCAGATGCCCAAACTGAAGCAGATAGTTTTCTTAGAGGGCCACATCCGGAGCCTTTGACCTAAGTGTCTGATCCACAAGGCAATGGAACATCGTGAGGGGATGCAGTCCCATAGTAGTCGGTGACCAACAATTAGTTTATACGCCATTTGTTCCCTCAGGATACTGGAGCCCATGTGCACCATTGGTTTGGAATCAGGGTTTTCCAACTCCCCTAGGTGGACTCGCCTTGTCCACCAACCCGGTTAAGGCGCCGGACATTCGCTTTTCGTCCTCTCACTTTCGTAGACAACACCCCCGCTACGAGAAGGCAGTGAGTAGGACTTCCCTGGCAGAGGCTATATATTTGCTGGCCATGTGAGAGCATTTGGAGAGGGAGAGCGTACTCTCCCCACTCTCGGTCGTACCAGGGCATTTGGGTGATTATGACTTTGTTGTGAATAAATATAGGTAATTATAATACCAAATGGTATTATGTTGTAATTGTTAGAGTAGTTACTCAGTCGAGGATGCATCTTTTTCTGTCTCGTTCTAATTTAACATCGAGACAGTTAATGCTGCTGGTAGAAACGCAAGGTACAAATCCAGTTGGATTGGTCAATGTCTCAAGACAATACGATACGACTACCATTATCCTATGTTGCTGTCAGAACAATTGTTGAGATTAATAAAACTAGGGTACGTAAAAATTGTACAATGGAGGGAGGGAAGAAATAATGGATGAAAAAGTAACTCATTTATCTAACTATACTTACAATCATATAAAATTGATGTTGGATCCATTTTGCAAGTGAAAATCCCTCCATGCATACACTTGTGATTTCTTCCTTACATTTTCTTTGTTTGTATATGCTGTTAAAATTTTTTTATGCTAATTAAGACTGTAACGTTCATTTTTTTTGGTTTTACTATCGTTTTTTATTGAGTCTCTATGTTCCTTACTGAGCTGTATCTAGTTTGTTTTAATTGCTATTATTCTGGCGTCTGCCATATTGACTGCTCGCTATTCGATTGTGCGGTTTGATTTTGACTGGGATTGTGCATCTTTGGTTGTAATTTGGAGCACTTTCCCAGATATTGAAACACTTTGTGTTATAAAACAGCTTCTCAGACGGAATTTTACTTGATCTATCCAGAAAGGATAGAATAACGCTTACCTTGTGGTGGACCAGACAATATATAAAAGCAAAAGATATCAACAAAGTTAATAACAACCAATTGTAGGTGTAAATAATTCCCCAAAATCAATAGCTCATTAAGTGTTCGACATTGGATGCTGACCACGTTGTTTAAGTGGACTTGTTTAGCTGAAGGCTTTCGGTCATGCATCCGCACCAGATCACGTTTCGACTCGGCGTGGGACACAGCTCCTACGTTTCATTAGCCAGCTCATAGAAAAGGTCCTCGATATATTGGTAACGAATCAAATATATCTTTCCTGCCTCTTCTCGTCTGACTTCTGATTTCTATCTGACTGGGAACAATCAAATTTAGAAGGTGCTACTGGTATCTAGTTGTAAAACTAGAATATCCGTTGCATCATCATTGGTGAACCCGACGTGATCTGGTACACCAAGTCAATATACTGTGAGTCTGTTCCATTTTGGAATATTATTATTCATTGTTATTCTTTATTTGAATTTTATATATTGTGATATACTTTTTTTCACAGTTTTTTTTTTCTCGGATATATTTTACTTAGACATTTTTCGTTATCTATATTGCTATGGCGGAACACTCTCCTAAGGTTTTTAAGTTAAAGTCTATTCCCCCTATTTCGATTCAGTTAACGCCATTTTGGCCCGACAATATTGAGTCCTGGTTCTGCTATGCAGAAGCCGACTTTTGCATGCACGGAATCACGGACTCGCGCACACGTTTCCTCGCGGTAGTTAAGGCGTTACCGCGCGAGTTTAACAGGTACGTAACACCTAGTATGTTTACTAGTGATGTTTCCGAACCTTACGAATCGCTTAAGCTATCGATTTTAAAACGAGGAGACCTAACTGATCGACAACGGTTAGACCAACTCCTTAACAATATCGACTTGCAAAATGGTTCTGCGACGGACATGTTGCTTAGAATGAGAGAAGTCATTGGCCAACGAACTTTCGATGATGGCCTATTTAGACAACTTTTCTTGTCTAAACTCCCTCAACAGGTGCAGGCAGTGCTTGTTTCATTTCAAAACAATGCCATAGATGAACTAGCTGCATCTGCCGATCGAATCTTGGAAATCACCAAATTTTCTAAGGCCGAGGTTTTTTCCATCAAAGAAAAACCCCAATCGACCTCGACTGACATGGCCGAACTATGTCACACGCTTACACGATATCTTAGAGTTCGCAATGACCGTAGTCGGTCAAAAACCCCGCGTAGAAGTGCCTCACGT